TGTTATTTTAAGCAGCGTCTGGTCGTCTTTCCTCACTATAACGGATCATGTAGTACAATGTAGTGATAAAGAAACAAGGCAAAATGAAAATTTCTGTTCGTTGTAAACTTTGTCCTTCATTTTTGTCTTTCCCAGTCGTCCTGAAAAAGAAAAAAGGATATGTAAGTACATGTAGAATTACACTCGTACGCGCGTAAAGACACAAAGCGGGCGATAAAGGAAGATAAACTCATACACATGCGATAGCGTGAAAACGATTTTAAAGGAATGGCTTTTTCAGTATTTTAAAAAATTTTTAAATCACATATGTTAGAGGGCATGTTAACGAGACAACTGTTGTTCTTGAAATAAATATTTAAATGTAAGCATATTAAAATCGGTGTTTTATAATATATATAATACAATGGAAAATCGAATTGAAACAAAATGTTAACTAGTCTTACATTCAATGATCATTTAAATGTTCTGGAAACCTTGATCTTATTTCGGAACGTGTTCTTTTATGTTTATTTTCTGATACTGCAGAAGTATCAACGTGTGTGTCGGCTGTCGATTGAGGTAATTTAAGTGTAGGTGCCGTGCCGTTTGATTATGCTGAAGTAAAACCAACGAGGATAGGAATTCCTCTCAAATAGGCTGCTTTGATGCGGTCGATGCTGATGCTTTCGTTGGTTCCGTTCCAGTCGATTATATGGTACTTAGGTTTGCGTTGAAGAACATTGAAAGGTTCTTCATATGCTGATTCGAGAGGCCGTCGATGTGAGTCTGGACGAACGAAGACGTGTGTACTATATCGTAAGTCAGGTTGAACGAAAACATCGGCTGATTGGGGTCGAGTGGAAACAGGTTTAACTGAACTCATTGCGTTTGTAAGCCTGTTCGTGTAGGAGGTTAGATCAATGTTCATCGAAGAGGATGAGGGATCCACGAATTTTCCTGGAAGTCGAAGGGTCGTGCCATAAACGGGTTGAGACGCAGTGTATCCAATGTCAGCTTTCACTGCACTGAGAATTCTTAGTAAGACGAGTGGAAGGGCTTCAGTCCACTGAGAAATGTCTGCAGCTTATAGTGAAGCTTCTAGTTGTCGGTGAAAGCGTTCTACTAACAAGTTTGCTTGTGGGTGGTAGGCGATCGTTCGGAAGCGAGCGATTCCTAATTTTGCGGTCAGACAACGGAAAAGTTCAGATTCAAACTGACGTCCACGATCTGTAGTGATTGTTGTTGGGCAGCCGAAGTTTGCCACCCATCTTTCGACGAAGGCGCGGGCCACTGTTGCAGCTGTAGTGTCTTTGATGGGTTCTGCTTCTGGCCATCGAGTAAAACGGTCTACGCAGGTTAAAAGATAAGAATATTCATTTGAATCTGGTAAGGGTCCTACCAAATCCGAATGAACGTGGTCAAAGCGAGCATCGGGAGTTTTAAACGAGCCCAGGGGACATTTGTTATGTCTAATCACCTTAGATCTCTGGCAGCTTGCACAGGAGCGTGCCCACTTCCTCACGTCTTTATTCATACCAGACCAGCAAAACCGTTCTGCTGTAAGCTTGATGGTTGCACGAACACCTGGATAGGAAAGTTTGTGCGGCGTATTGAAGACGTTGTGTCGATGGTGTTTCGGCACGATTGGGCGGTCCCCACCTGTAGGTGTGTCACATAGTAAGGTCTCGTTACCTGTTCCCATCTGTTTAACGAGCAGTTTAAGGGTTGTTGAAGATGACTCGTGTCGAAGATCAGTGTCTCCTTTTAGGAGCTGGGTGAGTTTTGGAAGATCGATGCCTTGGAAACTGTTCTAAGAATCTACACGAGACAAGGCGTCTAAAACTACATTGTTTGCTCCAGAAATGTGTCGAATATCTGAAGTAAACTGCGAAATGTAGTCCAGTTGTCAAGACTCACGTGGTGAGTACTTGTCTGAAGATGAGCCTAAGGAGAAAGTAAGTGGTTTACGATCGGTAAAAATGGTAAATTCACGGCCTTCGATATGGTGTTGAAAATGCCGGACAGCACAATACATAGCTAGGAGTTCCCTATCGAATGTGCTTTACCTCGATTCCGTGTCTAGCAACCGTCTAGAGAAAAATGACAAAGGTTGCCAGGAGTGGTTAACCCATTGTTGTAAGACTGCTCCGATTGCTGAGTCGGATACGTCTACTGCGATACTAATGGTCGCTTCAGTGTCCTGATGAGCAAGCATGGTCGCTTGAGCGATACGTTCCTTAACCGTGGAGAATGCTTTTCGCTCGATGTCATCCAGATTGATGGATTTCGCATTTCCACGAAGTTGGTCGGTAAGAGGTTTCATAAGGGACGCGCATTTTGGTATGAATCGTCTATAAAAACTTGCTTGATGGTGGTTGATTCTGGGTAATCCAGAATGGCCGCCACTTTTGTTCTAAGGGGTCGGATACCTTGCGCATCGATAGTGCATCCTATGAAGTCTAAGGAGTCGGTTCCGATTCGGCATTTTTGAATGTTTACAGTAATGCCATGTTTTTGCAGTCGGTCGAAAATAAGGTCCAGATGCTGGAGATGTGATTCTCTGTCCGGATTTGCTATCAAGCAGTCATCAACATACGCAAGTGAAAAATTTAGACCTCGAAAAACGTCATCTATGAACCTTCGGAAAGTCTGTGCCGCGTTTCTCAGACCGAAAGGCATTCGCAAAAACTCATAGAGTCCGAAGGGCGTTATAATAGCGGCTTTCAGAATATCATCAGTGGCCATAGGAATTCGGTTATAAGCTTTAACCAAGTCGATTTTCGAAAAGACAGTTGTACCTTTCAAGGTAGCTGTCAAATCGTGAATGTGAGGCAACGGGTAACGATCGGGAATGGTTTCTGCAGTCAGTCGTCGATAGGCACCAGTTGGACACCAATCGTTGCTGTCCTTTTTAGGGACCATGTGCAACGGTGGTGCTCATGGGCTATCTGACGGTCGTATGATTCCTAAGTCTATCATATGGTCAACTTCGTTTTTCGCCAACATTAACTTTTCGGAGGCCAGTCGGCGTGCTTTAGAGAATACAGCTGGTCCTGTAGTCGTGATGTGATGTGTAACGTTGCTGGTTACACACGGAAATTTCGGTTGCGATTAGTAAATGCCAGAATACTTATCGAGTAGTGGTTGGTAGAATGGGTCTATAGTGTGCTTAATAGTGACAGGAGATAACCTGCAACCAGAAAAAGAAGTTAAGCAAACAGATAAATTAGTATTTCCATCTACTAGCTTCCGTTTGCGCGTATCGATTATTAAGTTGTGGTGTTGTGGAAGGTCCGTACCAATGATTGGCATAGAAACATCCGCAACAACAAAGATCCAGTGAATGGGTTTGCGTAAACCCACCTTAAGATAAACGTACCCTTTGCCATGCGTAGCGATAGGCTTTCCGTTTGCCGCCTGTAGATTTAAAACCGATTTGTGAAGCCGGTCGTTGGAATTCGCTGGGTGAACGTCAACTTCTGCTCCAGTATCGTCAAGGTAGCGAACTCTCGTTATCACATCAGTGACGTATAATAGACGGCTATATTTGCCGGCTACGGTTGCCGTTAACGCGTGCCGGCTTGGAAGTTTCCCGAAACATTTTTCGCATCGACCGATTTTGCGTTGGGAAAATTGCAGGGTTTTCTGCAATTTCTGGCGGACTTTCCATACTGGTTATGATACCAGCATCAGTCAGGATTATCCGTCTCTCGAGGTTTAGAAACGATCGCCTACGTGGTGTGCTTCTTCGCGGAGTGTATGACCGTTCACGGTCGTTACGAAGTTTGAGATAACACGTAAGTGTATGACATAACTCTGTAATGTCATTCTGCGTCGTTTGAGGCTTGTATTTGACTGAAAAAACCTCGGCGTTAGAAGATCTAGTGATTTCGAGAATGCGGTCGGCAGAGGCAGCCAGCTCGTCTACGGCGTTGTTTTGAAACGAGACCAGCACAGCTTGCACCTGTTGAGGAATTTTTGATAAGAAAATTTGTTTGAACAGGCCATCATTGAAGGTTCTTTGGCCAATAATTTCTCTCATTCTTTGCAACATGTCTGTGGCAGAACCGTGTTGCTGGTCGATGTTGTTAAGGAGCTGGCCTAACATTTGTCGATCGGTTAGACCTCCGCGTTTAAGGATAGATCGCTTAAGTGTTTCTTAGGGTTCTGAATCTTCACTAGTAAACGCACTAGGTGTTAAGTACCTGAATACTGAGAAGAATCGGTAACGTGTGTCGTACGCGCCGTGCTCGTGGAAGTCGGCCTCTGCATAACAGAACCAAACTTCGATGTTTTCTGTCCAGAAAGGCGTTAGTGGATACGGTGAAATCATAGCCTTCAACTTAAGTACCTTGGGTGTCTGTTCCCTCATGGTGAAATATCGAGTATGAGAACGAAAGGATGAAATATATGTATATATATACATATTCAAAAACACGAAAAAATGTCACAATATTTAAAAATTAAAATAAAGCGATAATATACACAATTCCCAAAAGGAACAGACTCCTAGTTTGCAATTTGATGTAGCAGATCACGTCGGGCTTACCAATGAAGATGCCATAGGTATTCAGAATTTGACAACGCTTTAACCAGTAACACCTAATATGAATCGTAACCATCAAGTGAAATCAAAAAACATAAGCGAGGAGGTTCGAAGATATATTTGATAAGCTGTCAATATATCGAGGATCGACCGATCTAGACAGGCTAGCAATTGCAGTAGATGTTGAGCACGGCGTTCCCACTCGTGATCTGGGGCGGGTGCATGACCGAGTGCCTTCAGCCAGGTGATTCCATCAAACGAATGTGATCAGCATCTAATGTCGAAGACTTACACAGCCATATATTTTGGGGAATTATTTACAGCTAAAATGTATTAGGACTGTAACGTTCACGTAATTAAACAACAACTAAGACCTATGAGATTTGCTTCATATAGTGAAAGGAAACTTTTTAGGCTTTATTAACTACTTATTAATCGGATCTAAGACTAGTCATTCAATACTAATCTATTGAATCTGTTTTAACTAATCCACAGATTGGTTACTATAGCCTCTGTGTTTATTAAAATATTAAAACTAATGCCTATTTCTCATAATCCTTATTATTGTCATGAGCAAATACAAATACCCACAGCTCTTCCAGACATTTTAAAGCAATTCACCAAAGCAGCTATCAGAACGCAACCTAAAGACGTTCTCAAGTGGTCTTATGCGTATGTAGTTCAAATCTGTAAATTTTAATTCCATAGATATTTTAAAGCGATGGCACAAAGTGAAATACCACCAGTTAAAGAAAGACTTGAGCTTCCAATAAGTACGCAAAAAACAGACACAGGTTTAACACCAGGAATTTTAAGAATTTTAAATAACCAGGTTGGTTGTGTGGAATGAATGTTATGGCCTTCATTTATACAGTACAGTATATATGATACTAAATAATTTACACTATTACTTCCTTAATAATCTGTACAAATTTTAACTTTATAGAATGACATCCATTGAAATTTACACTTGATTTTTAAGACTAATAGATGGTAAATTTTAAAATTTATTATTTAAAAGGTGTATTCAAAATATCTCATACGAACGTTTCAAAGATGACTTTATGTATCATTTTATAAGATAAATTTATACTAGCCAAATAAAACCACTTGTGTTCCTTTCTCTCCCATTTTTGAGCTAATGAACTGTTTCAAGTCATTAGCCATACGCCATGTAATTTGTTCGACCATTCGAACCCAGTAAGTGATGAAAATGTCGTTTTTATTTTGTTTCCGAGTACAACATTAGCTTACTATCTGATTTTATTCCATATGTCCCTCAAACCTAGACATATCTATTTCGTTACTTATCCTAAGAATCCGTATCAAATTTTAATAAAATTAGTTCAAAATGTTGCCGGTTTTGAACTGAGATCAGATATAAATTCAAGAGATTTTGAAAAGTAATTAGGAAGTTTGTATACCCAGCTTTTTGAAAACGAGTTGAAACGTAATGAAGGCTTTAGTGTATATTTTAAGTAGTTACTTCTTGTCTGTATAGTCTCCATTAAGAAACTTGATCTTTGCTTTTGGAAGATATGCATATAAACTGTTATTAACTTTTCAACTTCCAAACCATATATGTATGTGAACGTGACTTGAAATAATATTTCTTTTCCATGCTTTACCAGTATAAGTGTCTGAAATTTATCCATTGTGTTTTTAGGTAAAAACTGCTCTATGTACTTTAATTATTTCCCTAATAGTAAACACTCGATGATCTAATACACAAAAAGAGGATAGTATTTGACTGAATTGATCTGGGATTTTTAATTTAAACTACATCGGAACGGATTTGCCGACTTTTCGTCTAATTAGCTTCAAGCAATTCCGTAACATAACATATAGTATGGTCTTTTTCTTTTCATAGCTTGCGTCAATGAAAATCGTTTCGTTATCCGTCATTGAAGAAAAATGGAAAGACTTGTCGCTACCGGTTGAACGGTTTCAAGAAATTTGTCGCATAGGAAATTTCGTAAATATCTGTGAATGGAAGTGGTTTTTAGCACTTGCTGCTTCTGACTTATGTGCCGTAAGTCTTTTTACTTTATTTCGTACAGAGTTTACCATAATTTTTGTTTTGGTTAATCCACTTTTTGTATCATTACTGATTTATCGCTAAAAGATTTTTTAGTTGTTATGAAGAGTAATAAATCTTGTTTGTAAGCTAGCGATATTCCAGTTGAATTATTAAAACACTAATTTATTACCAACTACACCTCAGTACATACCTTGAATAAGTCGTAAAACCGTTTACTTACATGTCAGCTAATCAAATAGAAAACGAAATATACAGTACTCCTCAACCAACTATCAGCTTGGAAGTAGATTTTAAAATACTAAACAAAACATCACTGGTTGGCACATGTATATCTGCCCCCAAATGCCCTGGTACGGCCGAGAGTGGAGAGAGTCCGCTCTCCCGCTCGAAATGCTCTCACATGGCCACGCGTATATAGTCTCTGCAGGGAAGTCCTACTCACTGCCTTCTCGTGACGGGGGTGTTGCTTACGAAGTTGAGAGGACGAAAATCGAATGTCCGGCGCTTTAACCGGATCCCAAATCAATGGTGCACATGGGCTCCAGTATCCTATGGGAACAAATGGCGTATGAACCAATCGTTGGTCACCGGCTACCATGGGACTGCATCTCCTTACGATGCTCCACTGCCTTGTGGGTCAAATGTTCAGGTCAAAGGCTCGGGGTGTGGCCCCTAAGAAAACCACCTGCTTCGGTCTGGGCACCCGGGCAGTATCACAGCCCTCACACAAATCAATTGAGATTCGTGTGGCGCATATGTATTTGGTGCCTCCTTGTACCAATACCTATGTGCTAAAATAAATAAAAAATAAATATACCCGATATCATCTCTGTAGAAAACCAGCTTTGCCTTGGCATAAAGCTAATAATACAAGTGTAGTATGGCAACTTCGTTACATATCAGTAGTTTATTTCTACGTAATAAGTGTTAGACAATAATTTCAGAAAACTTCATTCTTTTCCTTCACTTCAATTTAAAATTATTTTCTTGAATGGTGTAGATTTACTAGATTCTTAATATAGAAATAAAAGAATCTTGTATGTTGACATAACTGAGCACTAAACTGAAACTAAGGCGAATTTTAAAAATTATCCAGTTAATATAACTCACGTATAGCTGCATAGATATCCTTTTCAACTTCTTTGATTGTATTAATTGATCAACAACTAATAACTTATTTCATACTTTCTAGCATATAGTTCTGAATCTAGTTAACTGACTTAATTCGCAACGTGGAAGCTAAGTTAGCCATCTCAAGGAGCTTAATAACAATGCAGTAGACTCAAATTTATTCCTTATGAACAATCTCTTTTTAATTGTACATATGTGATGTGAGCTACTTATACCCACACAAGTGGTATATAACGATGGTCAGGAAGAAAATGTATTTCAGTAGAAGATCGAGAAGGAAAGGATAGGAACGGAAAGCAATTGGTATGAAAATGCCGGAACAATGAAATCTAAGACGATGGAATAATATTCGCAAAAAGAACAATTGAGTTTGAGACAATTAATTATTTTGCAAATTACGTGTTCACTGTATGGTTCTCAGATTTTAGTGAGATGTTCTGTAATTTGTGTTCAAATACATTCGATCGTCACCACTCGTGCTTTTGTCCACTACATACATACTTCCCTCTTGCCAATTCCAAAGAATCTACATTGATGTATTAGATTCATTATTTGGATAATCCAAAGTTTATCAAAACAAATAAAATTTAATTTTCTAACTTACAGCTTGACCTCGACTCAAGTAATTTGTTCTTCCTAGTAAATTGCTTTATTATTATTATCTAGGTGTATGACTAAACACAATGAGGTAAAACGACATATTCACATGCAATCGGATCGATATGAATTGTTGTTTAAAAATAGGAACATTAATGGATAGTAATGCAGTAAGCTTAAGCTTATCTGATGTCTGTATGAAATGTTAATTTGGTAAAACCTCGAAATCGAGTCATAATGTTAGTTTGCCAATATGAGTTTATTTTTTTATTTGAACACATAAATATTGGTACAAAGGGGAACTAGATACATATGCGACACACTTTATTCAATTTGTGTGAGGGCTGTGATACTTCCCAGGTACCCAAACCGAAGCAAGTGGTTTTCTTGAGGGGTACATTCGTAGCTTTCGACCTAAAGGTCTGGTCCACAAGGCAGTGGAGCAACGTCAGGAGATGCAGTCCTCTGGTAGCCAGTGACCAACAATAGGTTCACACGACATTTGTTCCTTCAGGATCCTGGATCCCATGTGTATCTTTGGTTTGGAATCAAGGTTTCTCAACTCCCCTAAGTAGAAACTCCATATCCACGAACGTGATTAAAACTCCGAAAAATCGCTTTTTGTCCTCTCAACTTCGTAACCAACACTCCCACCGCGAGAAGACAGTGAGTAGAACTTCCCTGTTAGTGGCTGTATACGTGTGGCTACGTGAGAGCATTTCGAAGAGAGCTGACTCTCCTCACCTTCGGCCGTACCAGGGCACGCTTTTTTAAGGCGTCATTAAAATGTTATACATTGTTTTCTAGATCCGTTTGCATACATTTAGAGCTTCAGTATTTGCTCTATTTATGTTGAGTGGACTACAGCCACTTCCTGTGCACAAACGTTCGGTGAACATGTTGAGAGATACACTACTACAAAGCCAAGTACTCTGAGAATTTGTGAACTACATTCAACCACATAACAATTACTATTATTGATGTAAAGCTATCCATCCCATTCAGCTATATATAGACTCATTTACTTAGACCACGAAACATGCTCACTCAGTGAGTCCCAGTGATATTTCCTGGTTTCCAAAACTTTGATGGATCAAGTACGGTTCGGGTCTATGATCAATTGATGTCCAAAAACTAAACCAAAGACTCATTTTGAACTTTGAATAAAACAGGATTTTACTAAGCTTAAGAACTCATTTGCATCTTTTTGTTCTACTATTGCAGACATTATCAGAAACTTTGAAATTGATATGTGAAATTCTAACGGCAGATCCTGAAGGTGGGGCAGCTAGATTACCATTTGAGCAATGGCTAGAATTCTATCGTTATCTTGCGAAAATCGATGATATACCAGATGAACATATTAATAAAGTATTAGCTCATTTAAGTTTTGACATGTAAGTTTGCTTTTTTTATTGCTTTGATAAATTAGACTTAGTATATAGAGATAACGGTGGCATAAGTTGATTCCGTAACGATAAGTTTCATTTCCTAATTGGTGTATACTTGAATAACACTAGATGTGGAAACTACTAGATGATACTAATTGAAAGACATTATCAAAATCTAAAACTAGAACGAAACAACGGTATAATTTTAAAATACTTTCCTTACTAAGGTCGATTCCTGATGGAAAACCTTTCGAACTGGATTGATTTCTTAATCTTAATAAGATTCAGCAAACTCCACAACTCAAGTACTAAATTAAGCTTCATGAACCATACAACAAAATTTCCAAAAATCCTGAGGTAAATGTGAAGATAAAGAAACAGTGTTTAACTTCCTCCACAAAAGGGACAAAGTAATTCAGATCAGCAAATATCTGTGTTTCTTTTTATATGACCAGTAAGCGCCTATTTATTTATTTATTTGAACACATAAATATTGGTACAAGAGGGCACCAAATATATATGCGCCACACAAAACATTGAGAATTTAAGAAGGGAAAAAAAGTAAGGAACGAAGGGGACTACAAAATAAAAAAAGAACAATAATGGGGGGAGACGAAAAGGTACACTCAGAAGAAATCTTACATTTAAGGAGGATACAGCCACTTTTATGAAGAAAGTAAGAGGTTACAGCACGATCGCCACTGGCTTCTATTCTGAGCCATATCTGATAACGTCTCTAGCCACTGTGTTACACCATCTCTCGGACCCCAGCCAGGGAGTTGTGAAGGACCAACAGAAGCCAGCCCTTTGCAGCTTTCTTTCATAACACGACACCATGTCATATACTGACCACCTCTACGCTTTTTCCAACAAGTCCCAGGGTCGGCAAATAATGCACGACGAGGAATTCTCTGGGACGACATTCGTAGAACGTGTCCAAGCCACCGAAGCCGGTGTTTCAAAATGGTGACACCAATTTCATTATTGTCTCTGTGACCGAACACTCGATGCCGAACCTCTGCATTACTGACATGGTGTTGCAACTGGATGTTAGCAATCCTTCGAAGACAAGGATGATCGAACACAGCGAGTCGTCTAACATCTTCAACTCGGAGAGGCCAGTTTGCATAAGCATAGAGCAAAACTGCTCTCACCGACGCGCTGTAGATCCGACCTTTTACAGCCAGACTAACATCACGAAGGCGCCAAAGATGGCCCAGATTGGCACAAGCCGCTCTGGCTTTCACTATACGTGCATTGATCTCATCACTCACGCCACCACCAGCACTTATGCAGCTACCCAGATACACGAACTTCTCAACTACTTCTATCTGCTCACCATCCAGAGTGAGTACAGGATTAGAATCCTGCCAGTCTTGTATGAGTACTTTGCACTTCGAAGTTGCAAAGCACATACCATACCTACGGACACTGATTGCCAACTGATTAAGTGCGGATTGCATGGCTTGAACATTCTCGCACAGTGAGACAATATCATACGCATACTGAAGGTCGAAAAGTCTTTCTCCAGGCAACAGATCCACACCGCCATTACTTACATCCATCCGAGTTGTTTCCAGAATCTCATCGATGGCAAAGTTGAAGAGGAATGGTGAGATTGAGCAACCCTGCCTAACCCCACTGCTCGAATGGAATAGTGGAAAAAAGTGATTGTATGCCCTCACTCTGCCTGAGGTGTTTGTGTATAGGGCTTTTAGGATGTTAGTAAACTTCTCAGGCACACCCTTCTTCAATAGACAATCCCAGGGAACAGTTCTGTCCAACGAATCGAAGGCAGCCCTGATTTCAAGAAACACTACGATTGTTGGCCTTTGATAAGTATGGCGGTGTTCTAACATTTGGTGGAGGGTGAAGATATGATCAATTCATCCTCGACCAGAACGAAACCCAGCCTGCTCCTTGCGAGTCAATCTTTCTCGGGTTTTGAACAACCTACGAAGTATAACGGAAGCCAATAGCTTGGACGCAGTCGAGAGTAGACTTATCCCCCAATAGTTGTTACAGGAACGACGTGAAACCTTTTTAAAGATAGGGACAACTATCGACCAATTCCATGACGTTGGTACACTCTAGTTCCCAGACCTTTACAAACAACGTCGTCAGTCCCTTAGTCAGAAAGTCACCACCATCTTTAAAAGGAGCCGGAGGTAAGTCGTCTGGGCCCGGTGATTTGTAACGTTTCAAGAGTTGGAGTTCATTGCGGACTTCCGCCTCATTTGGTGGATCAGTCGTCACCGGCCATGGAGGGCAGGATAGTCTGACCGATGTTTCCGGAGCAGCAGGCCAGTTGAACTGCCCTTCGGCTAGTATTACAATATCTGTCGAACGCACTTTCTGGAGAAGAACAGTTAACTGGTGGTAAAACTCATCCTTGATTGCATCCGGGTTGCAATCTGTCGGGGCATAGGCGGAGATGACGAAAAGACATCGTTTCTCACGCCTATTTTTTCTCACTTTGATGGAACTTTCTAATCTAACAGCACATAACCGACTGTTAATGGGAATCCAGTCGATTAGTGCTGCCTCAGCTCTAGCGCTTAGTGCGACACCAACGCCAGCAAAACCAGACGAAGATGCCACAGGGTCCACGGATAAACGCACATAAAACAAGCTTTTTGAAGTGACAGATGGAGAGCGAATTCGTAGTACTTCACCAGAGTCTTGAATACGGGTCTCGGATAGACAACAAACGTCGATATTAAGACTTTCCAAAGATATAGCCAGCCCTATCTGTTGTCCGACCTGCATAAGTGTGCGAACGTTGAAGGCAGCCAGTTTAAATGGTGCACGTGGTTTCAGAAAGACTGCTTCAGTACTCTTATTCGATGGTAACATACAATTTTCAACCAGGCAGTGACTCGAAAACGTTTAGATAGAGCCGAATGTCCACCATAGGCGAGCTGCTGTATAAGTCGAAAAATAAGGATAGACAGAGTGGGAATGAAAGAGAGTGAATAAATGACGTCGTAAATAATAATAGTAATAATGATAATAATAATGTTAATTGTTTGACGATAAATCGCAGCGTGAACAGAGTTTTCAGAGAAGATCATCATTTTCATTATATTTGTGTGTGGGCTGTGATACTGCCCGGGTGCCCAGACCGAAGCAGGTGGTTTTCTTAGGGGGCCACACCCCGAGCCTTCGACCTGAACATTTGACCCACAAGGCAGTGGAGCATCGTGAGGAGATGCAGTTCCATGGAAGTCGGTGACCAAGAAATCGGTTCATACGCCATTTGTTCCCGCAGGATACTGGAGCCCATGTGCACCATTGATTTGAGATCCGGTTATAGCGCCGGACGTTCGCTTTTCGTCCTCTCATTTTCGTAAACAACAGTAATGCCACGAGAAGGCAGTGAGTAGGACTTTCCTGGCAGAGGCTATATACGCGTGGCCGTGTGAGAGTATTTCGAGAGGGAGGGCGAACCCACCCCACTCTCGGCCATACCAGGGCATTTGGGGGCGCCTCTACTTGATATGGTTTCAGTATCTTGTCAGGATCAACTACTACATATGTCGGCGTAGAAAGAGAGTGACAAAATATTAAGAAATATTTGTAACAAATAACAAACGAACACAATGAAAGCACTAGGGCCATTTTGATTGGGGAGATTTATCTGAACAGGGATACGCGAGATGAACCTGACTTCATTAAGATTAACGGTCAAATATTTACGCTTAAAATATTTTTGACCAATTAAAATCTACGGGTAGGAAGTTACATGTTTTCAACAGTCAGTATCTTCCACCCGTATTTAATCACTAGGTTTTTTTACTGGTTTCACCAGATACACCTGTTTCTCTATCTGTCATATATGAGGTGTACCTGAATTCCAAATCATTTATCGCTCTTTATGCCAACGGATGAGATAAAAACGGAAATTTGCCAACAGCAAGTGTTTCTGTCCGAGTTCCCAATCTTAGTATAATAATAATTTGCAGTTCATTTAAACTAGCTTGCAAGTACAAATAATAACGTCTATGATACGGAGAACAAGGAAAGTAATTAAACGAAAGCTAAGTGTAAAATCTAACCACAATCACGCTTCCATGAAATCCAAAAAAATTAACTGTTATAAAAAACTCTAAAACTTATTTTTCTCTGTGACCTGATTCGATTTGAACATACAGCTAACAAATATGGACAAAAATAAACGAAAAGACATTCCCTCTGAATGTATAATGATTTAAATGACTTTTTTCGATAATTTGTTTCCCTTAAAATTTACTTTTGGTTTTCATTTTTAACTTTTCTTTCATAAGTGCAACTCAAAATGGTGCAATTGCACCTCGTAATTTTATGCATAAAAATTGTCCGAAATTAAATCCGAGAGAAGTAAATGTACATGCTTTTACAGAATCAACCGTTGAAGACTAACAATTTCCGTATCGATGAAACACCATACATATGTATGTGCATCAATAGGAAGAGTATTTCAAGTATTTTACATCTGCGTTCAACTTATTTATTTTCTGTTAGTCTTATTAGAAAGGAAAACTAAGATAAATCGATGTTGGTTAAAATAAATTCAATTGTCAATGAACGAAATGGAACTTTGTAAATTTTGAGTTCAATTGTTTTAGTTCCAATTATATTATGGTTGACACTATTTTAGGGAATGAAATTCACTTCTTAATAAATGCGGATATTTCATGTACACTGTTATGCGTTTGGAAGTTTACTAGTGACCTTCACAAAATGAATATAAAATTTAAAGGAATCCAGTTTTATTCCCTAACTTTTCATTAGTTCCTTAATTAATAACGGAGATTGACTTCGAAATACACTAGCATGTTGGAAAGTCACTTACTGGTGATTTGTGGATTCCTCGAAACTCTAATAGGAAGCCATAAATTGTAGAACCGATTGAGTTGAGAGCGATGAACAGCAATTCACATATTACTTGAAATGAAAAGCACAGTAGTTTAGAATGGAAAACGTACAAACAAGTGACATGGGAAGTGTTAACATTTTCACAAATAACTCGCAACCTTAAGAAATATATGCTTTTTTATATCGCTAATAATGTTGTCCTTACAGCTTTGAAAACAAAATATTACTACCTACTAAACTTCAATAATTTAATATGGAATATCAGAACACGATATATGTTTACGACCACCGGTTATTCATAGTTTGCCTATGGAGTCGTAAAACATTTTAGCCACATTATCAAGCTCTAATGTTCACGACTTTAACAACTGTTGTTTCAGAGTGAACACAAACATAAATACAAGCTATCCAACAGCTAAATAGCCTTTGAGAATTAGAGAATAGTACGTAGGAAGTAATTACCTAGAAGTGGATTTTTTGAGTAAGTTCCCATATTCCAAAACAGTTTTAGCAGAGCTACAGTCAAAAGAGGTGAATATGTATATAGCGACCAATTATAATCTGTTTCTAAACTACAAATTAATACAACTAGCGCAAGAACCCAATTACAAAGAGAACAAATAATACATGCATACCGAACACTAACGAGGATATAATAAACTCAGTCAATAACAAGGATTAGTTATGTTTCACAACTGGTGCAATGTTATGATAGATAGTTAAATAAAAAGGATAAGAGTAATAACCAATCGAAAATTAAACAATCGCGGGCATTTCATGCAAATATTATTGGCTAATTTGCCCTAATCGATAGAGATTAACACACTGTGTAGCCCTTTCCTTCTGTTTTGGCACTTTTACTTTGGACCTATGACCCCACTTGGAATCCGACCCAGGACCTTACGATTCCTTGACGTGTCGGAACTAGGTGGTTCACAATCCTAACTTCAGTCGATTCTCAACATCGTCCAAAAATTGGTGGTATTTGTCTGCTTCAGATATGGTTGAATCCCGCCGGTTATGACTTCACAGAAGAAAACTCAGCAATTATTTTCCGGATTTAATGCATTAAGCATGTTGTAATCATAGGATAAATCTAACGTCCCAATAACTTAGGAAGCCTATTTCTTGAGAATTCAAATATACATTACCCTGTTTGTCTACTTTCTATATAAAGTGCCATTTTACTAGCATATAACCATATTATAATAGATCAGCCATAAAAATGATCGCGAAATTAAATAGCATTACAATTCTTTATTCCTATGATTCGTTGAATTAACCAGCTTCTGTCAAATGGTTCAACAAACATGAGACATTAGGAAAAACTTACAAAGGATTACTACTGAAAATAATAATCCCACATTCCCTTCTTAGTATTTTGCATATCGTATTAATACCCTTATTAGCAGCACCTTGGGACCATTTTTACATAACTAATCCCAAAGATTATATTTCGTAAAACAAGTCTAACGCTCTCCCTTCGCTTAACACTCAGACCGAGTTCAAAATCCGAATTTGCACTAGTGAATTAGTTGAGTCATTCTATGGTGTTTGTTGAGCAGTAAAAAAATCGCGTTACTACATAGTAGGTAAGGATTCTACATAAGCCTAGTTATTATTTTCAAAACTGTTTATCGACCGTTTACATGAGATTTTTAAGCATACTTGAAGACGATGGGTTGTCAAATAACTGCGGACTAAAATGTATCGGTGTACTGATCCTAGTAAATTGCTTGACATTCATTTTTGATAATAACTTCTAGTGATAAGGATTGTTTCTAAAAACGCAACAAGCAAATTTTGTCAATAAACAAGAGGTAGCGCTCTAAATCATAGATAATATCCTTGAAATCAGATAGAGATAACTCATTAGGATACAAATACATTCACCAAGATAATTCCAAGAAGTGAAGGTAAAAATTTATGTTACGGATAATGCTTACAAAGTATCTAGTTATTATATGGGATCTACGGTCCATAACCCTGCCACAGTTCACCGAACCGAGAACTTTTGGCCTCGGGAGCGAATGGTCAACCTTTAGCGCTTTTATTATCTAATGATGTACATGCACACGGTCTCCTGTATTGACGTCATGAATGTGCCTTAGTGAGGATTCCCATGCTAGGACGAAACAGCTACCCAGTGCTTCCTGCTTTCCAATGATGTAATACCTAAGATCGCTTTTTGATTTAAATCATGAAGAGCATTTGCTTAGTTAGTTGCTGAAGTATCTAGATAATCTATGCTGTGTTAGGGGAAGAAAGACATGCACTTAATGTCATTTTATACTGCAAATAAATTCAATCCAGTTTATATTTGTGTTAATACGACATTTGACTACCGATATTTGACTAAACAGTGAGTAATTATGTGATTTTAACTTACTCAACCAATCAGTTAACATTGTTATTACTGACAAAAAGGTGCAATTCGTATCAAAGTAACTTATGTAGTTTTGAAAAGAGTCTAATTGAGTGATATCAGATGACCATAATACGGTAACCAGTAAAATAGTAGGATGCTTTGTAGTGTTAAGAACTACTAGGAAAAAGAAAGAGATGACAGAGAAGATTTGCACTAAAATTTTCGATGCCAATAACGAACTCTGTAACTCTCCCACTGAAGATTGTTGCGGGAGAAAAACATGTTTGGGTGAGAAATTTATTGCTGTTGTGCAACTCTGCCAAACCACAAAGCTTACATGTGACAAGAGTCCGAGACGCCTTTAGACGGTAGTAGTTAGATGCTTAGAGCACCGGATACTCATCCTGTTCTACAGTGGTCAAATTGTAAATTAGCCCATTAGGTCGATGAGATAGCACGTAGCTAACAACGACTAATAAACATAACAGTAATCACTCACGAGTGTTATTGTTAGATTGATGAAAATATTTGATACCCTATCAAAAGGAAGTCAGTCATTTTTAACACAGAACGTGAATATCTACGCTGTTCCAAGTTGCCACACAATATTAAATTCTTAAGAAGCACGCTATAGCATAAGTATTAGCACTAGGACAAAAGTTCAGGTGCAGGAAATAAAGGCATAATATTTTGGGATTTTAAAGTTATAGTGAATGCACCTTCACCATTGAAGAAGCTTTTGAATCATGTCACCTAAATTCTCAAACCATTAGTTCCGACGCTTACGCGGACTTTATTCAGCTGGTATCAAAAGGGAATGATTTCGTGACATTACTGATGCAAGTTTATTTTACTTCCTTAAACTGGTAAGCATTCAGATTCTCCTCAACAAACTTGCCAAGACTATTGGTAGTACAATATAATGCTAGCCATAGCAGATAGAGGTCACCCCACAATATTTCCATACAAACATTTGATATCAATCAACATAACCCTAACACGAAGTGGAACTAACGAAGTATTTCGTATGAAACTTCCACCAGTAATCCCATACATCGTACAACGCATTTTTCGAGATTTCTGAAAGTCCATGTGATGAGCACACACAGTAAAGTGCGTTAATATACGATCACCATATTACCTAAAATTTCAGTTAAGCTCTCAAATGGGGTTGTTGATTATCAAAATCGTAAACGTTCTCACTACTGACTAGTCTTACATATGCACAGGTGAGACCACTAGAATGTTACGGCCAAACATTGGCCACAAAACTACATAATCTAACTTCACAAATACAAAACCACAATTATAATGAAAGACTGCTGCTATGCTTATTGCAATCCCAACTTATTTTTAGTTTGTTGTTTTGAAACTCATAAACACTAAGTGTTATGTATTCTTAAAATGTTCTACACAACACGAACAACACCAGGACATACTCGACACCCGATAAGCAGAATAGATCGGAATATCAGACTAGCTATGCATTCAGAAAATGATGCCATCATCACAACTGTATTTCAAGACATTATTTTACTTCTACATATTTAGCTTTCTTTGAAGGAGCCTCGTCAACTTTGTTAGCAGCTTTGCGTTTAAGTTTTCCGTTCTTAATGGCACGCGCAAGGGCCATCTTGAAATGTTTTTCTCCAAGTGCGAATGGATTCAATTTTAGCAACGCCTAGAAAAGATTAGGAAGAGAACGGCATTACAATTGAAAGGTACAAGAAATGATACGAGCTAAGCTGAAATATATTTTAACTTACCTGCTGGTTCTTCAAAGGATTTTTCTTGACTTTAGGACCTGGACGTTGCAAATGCATACGCCTAGATTTCACGACAGAGGAGACTTCACGGCAGTGTAAAAGTCTACCTAAGTCTGCATTAGTCATCTTTGCTATGGGAAGATGGAAACCAGATTTTTTTACACTTCCTGTTTTTCGAGTGCCATAAAGCTTGTCCAACTGACGGAAAGCCGAGTCTGACCAAATAGCTAAACGTCCCATGTGACCACCTGGGGCCAGCTTAAGGAGATTAAGAGCCTTAACATTAATCAAAGTGACACCTAAGACACGTTAATTAGGCAAATAAAAACTTACCTGGAATATTTCTGAAGGCTCGTGATATTCCATCGTCTTTTTTATATATTATTATCGGACCACGTTTTTGTATTCGTCTTCGGTTTCGCATTTTACCTTTGCCAGCACGGAATCTCTGAGAGTTGTAAACTTTTTGAATATCTGGCCAAGCTCGGATTGCCTTAAGTACTTTAACCGCATCTTTTGTTTTCTTTAGTGACTCGACCTCTTTAGATAAAACGAGCGGAAGTTCTGGAACACGATCAACTCGATGCCCACGAGCCATGACTAATGATGGTACTCCAGTTGCGGCGATTGCAGAGCATATGGCATATCGGCGCTGCTGAATATTTATCTTCCTGTGCCACCGTCTCATTGTCTTAGTAGGGGCGTACATATGACCACCACGACACATATTTCCATAAGCACCTTGACCTGACCTG